TGTATGGTGTCAGAGGGGCATGAGATTGATTGCATGATTTCTTAGTCCATTATATAATGTCTAATCATTGGGGTGTACCCCTGAAATGACCCTCATGTTCTATGTCAACTGTCATGTAAAAAATGTTTTTAAATTTCCATAGGACCACGTTACCTTCATAGAGTCATTTTTTACCTTAAGTATGTTTTGTACAGGTTTTTCAAGAAGAGAGATCTAAAGCTAAAAAAGAAAGAAAAGTTGATATGTATAAACTTGCAAAATAAACCAAAGGCAAAGACAAACACAACCGTAAAAACCATAAAGATGAAACCCGACGCAAAATGCGTTTGGAGACCCCATCCCCTGTCTTTCGATACCAAGACGGAAAAGCGAGAGGCTCTGAGAAGCTGTGGCTGTTGCTCATTGGACCACAGAGGGGACATGGCGGAGCTCCCATCGACCATTCACCTCACCTCCCACCCCATCTACCTGAGTATCTGTGGGCCCTTGTTGTATGAGGATGAGAACCAGGGCATGTGGCTGAATATCGTCATGGACACGGTAGGTGTCTTGAAAGTACGTTTTCTCCAGGTAGACATCCCAAGTGGCCATATCGCACTCACCACCAGCTCGCTGACCTCGAGCACCATCCCTTTGCTGTGGACGCTGTACCCTGGCGACCAGTACCTGGACACCATGTGCCGGTTCTGGTGCATCGTGCACCACGTCAAGGAGAATTGTGTGGAGGAAATGATACTTGAGCTGATGGAAGACTCGTAGGACATATGATAGGGTCCCTGGCTCTTGTCAACCTGAGCCCCGGTCCTGCTGGCCTGCTGGTGGGATGTGTATAGTTCTCTTCAGCTTTTTAATAAGCTCTGTAGTTCTATCTGCCACCCCCTGGGTGCGAGGGCACATTGATCTCTCTCTCTCTCTCTCTCTCTCTCTCTCTCCCTCTCTCTCTCTCTCTCATCTCTCTCTTTTCTTGTTCTTCTTCTTCTTCTTCTTCTCATCTCATTTCTCTCTGACTCTTTGTGTTTCTCTGTCTCTCTTCCTCTCCCTATAATCAGTAAAAGCATATTGAGCCAAGCTAATGTATCTCAGTGGTTCAGGGACGACCTGTCTACCCGGAGGTCACGGTTTGATTCTTTGTCAGGGCACAGACAAGAATTAACCAATGAGCCCTAGCTATTTTGGCTCATGGATAGAGGGTTGGACTGTGGACTCTGGAAGGTCCCAGGTGCGATTCTGTTCAAGGGCACATGCTCTGGTTGTGGGCTCGATCCCAAGTAGGGGGCATGCAGGAGGCACCCGATGAATGATTCTCTCTCATCATTGATATTTCTCACTCCCTTCCTGTATGAAATCAATCCTATTTAATAAAAGCATCATATGCTAAGTGTCCAGTCGACTGGTCATCTATTCAACCAATCAAAGCATAATATGCAAATGATATACTAACGTTGCTCAACTGCTCACTATGACATCCATTGACCAACAGGGACAAGACATTCAGACTGGTAGGACAGCTTGCTGTTGGGTGCTGGCTGATCGGGACTGAGTGAGAAATGCTGGACACACTCTGGAGCCCTCCTATGGTCCCTTCCCAGCTGGCCAACCTCCCGTGTCCCTCCACAGACCTAATGTGGCAACAGTGGGGTGCCTTGGCCTGGCCTGTGCCCTATCACAATCTGGGACCCCTCGGGAAATGTCAGAGAGCCAGTTTTGGCAGATCTCTGTAAGCCAGGCCGGGGCACCACACTGGTGCACGAATTCCCCCAAATATTCGTGTCCTTTTTGCAGAGGGTAGTATTGGTTGACGAACCTCAGGAGATCAAACAATGAGAACGCTGGTCATTGAAATGAAAAATATTTCCAGTGATGTCTTCGAGCCTTGTCTACCAGGGCTGGGCTAATATTTTCAAGCTTAAGAACTTTTTCTTTGTCATTCTCTGTTTACTATATTTTTACTAGAGGCCCGGTGCACAAATTCATTCACCAGTGCGATGCCTCATCCTGACCTGTGGGATCGGGCCGAAACTGGCTCTCCGACATCCCCTGAGGTATCCCAGATTATGAGAGGCCACAGGCCAGGTCAAGGGACCCCACTGTTGCACCATTAGGCCTGGGAAGGGACACGGGAGGTTAGGCAGCTGGGAAGGGACCATGTGAGGGCTCCAGGGTGTGTCCAGCATGTCTCACTCAGTCCCCATCAGCCAGACTCCAGCAACAAGCTGACCCTCCAGTCTGAATGTCTTGTCCCTGGTGGTCAAAGCATGTCATAGTGAGCAGTTGAGCAGCCTTAGTATATCTTTTGCATATTATGCTTTGATTGGTTGAACATTGACCGGTCGACATGACACTTAGCATATTAGGCTTTTATTATATAGGATTGATTTCATAAAGGAAGGGAGCGAGAGACATCAATGATGAGAGAGAATCATACATCAGGTGCCTCCTGCACACCCCCTCCTGGGGATCGATCCCACAACCAGAGTGTGTGCCCTTGACCAGAATTGAACCTGCAACTTTCCAGAGTCCACAGTCCAACCCTCTATCCACCGAACCAAACAAGCAAGGGTTCATTGGTTAATTCTTGTCTGTGCCCTGACCAGGAATTGAACCGTGACCTCCGGGTTCGTAAGTTGTTCCTCAACCACTGAGAAACACCAGCTTGGCTCAAAATGCTTTTATTGATCTGAGAGAGAGGAAGAGAGACAGAGAGATACACAGAGACAAAGAGACAGAGAGGGCGAGAGAGAGAAAGGAGAAGAAGAAGAAGAAGAAGAAGAAGAAGAAGAAGAAGAAGAAGAAGAAGAAGAAGAAGAAAGAGAACAAGAATAAGAAGAACAAGAAGAACAACAATAAGAAGAATAAGAACGAGAAGAGAGAGAGAGAAAGAGAGAGAGAGAGAGAGATCAATGTGCCCTCACACCAGGGGGTTGCAGATAGAACAACGGAGCTTAGTAAAAAGGTGAACAGAACTATACACGTCCCACCAGCAGGCCAGCAGGACTAGGGCTCAGGTTGACAAGAGCCAGGACCCTATCATGTGTCCTATGAGTCTTCCATCAGCTTAATGATCCTTTCCTCCACTCCATCCACCTTGAGGTGGTGCACGATGCGCCAGAACCGGGACATGTGGTCCACTTACTGGCTGCAAGAGTGGAGCGTCCACATCAAAGGCATGGTGCTCGAGGTCAGAGGGCTGGGGGTGACTTTGATATCCTCACTGGGGATGTCTTCCTGGTGCAACCGTACTTGCAGGACATCTTCTGTGTCAATGATGAGGTGAAACCATGTGTGATCATTCTCATCCTCATAGCACGAGGTCCCACACCTCAGGCGGACCAGGTGCGAGATGAGGTGCACCTTCTACAGGAGCTCGGCCATGACCCCTCCGTGGTCCAAGGAGCAACAGCCACAGCTTCTCAGAGCCTCTCGCTACTTCAGTCCCGGTATCGAAAGAGAGGGGATGGGGTCTCCAAATGCATTTTACCTCGTCTTTTATCTTTATGGTTTCTACGGTTGTGTTTGTGGTTGCCTTTGGTTTATTTTGCAAATTTATAAATCTCAACTTTTCTTTCTCTTTAGCTTTAGATCTCTCTTCTCAAACAACCTGTACAAAACGTACTTCGTGTAAAATATAACTCTATGAAGGTAACATGATCCTATGGAATTTTAAAAATATTTTTTAAATTACAGTTAACATAGAACAATAGGTTCATTTCAGGGATACACCACAAGGATTAGACTTTATATAATGGACTAAGAAATCATGCAATTAGTCTCATACCCATGTGACACCATACACAGTTATAATATTACTAGAGGCTCAGTGCTCAAAAATCTATGCACTCTGGGAGGTCCCTCAGCTAAGCCTGGGGCCGCTCCCAGTCTGGAAACCCTTGAGGAATGTCTAACTGACGGCTTAGACCCGCTTTAGTGCTTCCGTGGAGGCTCCTACCAACACGTGTGCTTGGCAGCTGTTCGCCTGGCTTTTGGCTAAGCGGCGCTCCCCTGTGGGAGTGCACTGACTACCAGTAGACAGCTCCTGCCATGAATATCTTCCCCAGGTGGTCAGTGTGTGTCATAAGGACCAGTTGTTCTTCCATTTGGTCAATTTGCATATTAGCCTTTTATTTTATAGGATTGCATTGACTCAATGCTCTACTTTTCTGTGCCATGACTATTCTTTCATTTTTTTCACATAGTTTTACTGCTTTCAGAGAGGAAAGGAGAGGGAGAGAAAGAAAGATCAATGATGACAGAGAATAACGGATTGGTTGCCTCTTGCATGCCCCCTACTTGGGATCAAGACTGTAACCCCGGCATGTGCCATGACTGGGAATCAAATAGACATCTCCTGGTTCCTAGGTTTAAGCTAAACAACTGAGCCATGCCAGCCAGATACTTTTCTTTTCTTTTCTTTTCTTTTCTTTTCTTTTCTTTTCTTTTCTTTTCTTTTCTTCTTTCCTTTTCTTTTTTTCTTAATTAAAACTTTGCCCCCTACTTGGGATCAAGCCCACAACCAGAGCATTTGCCCTTGACCAGAATCGAACGTGGGACCTCACAGAATCCACAGTCCAACCCTCTATCCACTGAGCCAAACAAGTTAAGGCTCATTGGTTAATTCTTTTCTATGCCCTGACCAAGAATCGAACCATGATCTCCAGGTTCATAGGTCATCCCTCAACCACTGAGAAACACCAGCTTGGCTCAAAATGCTTTTATTGATTTGAGAGAGAGGGAGAGAGACAGAGAGAGACAGCGAGACAAAGAGACAGAGAGAGAGGAAAAAGAAGGAAGAAGAAGAAGCACAAAAACAAGAACAAGAAGAGAGAGAGAGAGAGAAAGAGAGAGAGAGAGAGAGAGAGACATCAACATGCCCTCGCACCCAGAGGGTGGCAGATAAAACAGCAAAGCTTATTAAAATTGTGAACAGAACTATACACATCCCACCAGCAGGCCAGCAGGACTGGGGCTTAGGTTGACAAGAGCCAGGGACCCCATCACATGTCCTACGAGTTGTCTATCAGCTCAAGCATCATTTCCTCCACTCCTTCCTCCTTGATGTGGTTCACGATACGCCAGAACCGGTACATGGAGTCCACGTACTGGCTGCCAGCGTAGAGGATCAACATAAAAGGCCTGGTGCTCGAGGTCTGTGGGCTGGTGGTGAGTGCGATATGCCCACAGGGGATGTCTTCCTGGCGCAACTGTACTTGCAGGACACCTCCTGTCTCCATGACGAGATGCAGCCATGTGCGCTGCTTATCATCCACGTACACCGAGGGCCCATGGATCATCAGGCAGATGGGGTGCGAGTTGAGGTGCACCTTTGACGGGAGCTCGGCCATGACCCCTGCCCGTTCCAAGGAGAAACAGCCACAGCTTCTCAGAGCCTCTCGCTACTTCGGTCCTGGTATCAAAAGACAGGGGATAGGGTCTCCAAATGCATTTTACCTCGGCTTTTATCTGAATGGTTTTTACGGCTGTGTTTGTGGTTGCCTTTGGTATATTTTTTAAACTTATAAATCTCAACTTTTCTTTCTTTTTAGCTTTAGATCCCTGTTCTAGAACAAATGGTACAAAACATACTTGAAGTAAAATATGTCTCTGTGAAGGTAACATGGTCCTATAGAATGTTTAAAAAAATTTTTTTAAATGACAATTGGCATAGAAAATTGGGTTCATTTCAGGGGTACACCCCAATGATTAGACATGATATAATGGACTAAGAAATCATGAAATTAATCTCATACCCATCTGAAACCATACACAGTTATTGTAATATTACTAGAGGCTCAGTGCACTAAATTCATGGACTTGGGGGGGCGTACCTCAGTCAGCCCTGCAGCCTCTCTCACTCCGTGATGCCATGATGATGTCCAACTGATGGCTTAGGCCCGCTTTAGTGCTGCCGTGGGGTTCTCCCCAAGCCCTGTGATTGGCAGCTGGGAGCCAGGATTTGGCTGAGTAGCGCTCTCCCTGTGGCAGCGCACTGACCACCCGAGGACAGCTCCTGCCATGAGCATCTGCCCCTGTGGTCAGTGTGTGTTATAGCAACCAGTCGTGCTGCCGATTGGTCTATTTGCATATTAGCCTTGTATTATGTACGATTGCCTCAATGCTCTACTTTACTGTGCCATGACTATTCTTTCGTCTTTTTCATATAGTTTTACTGATTTCAGAGAGGAACGGAGAGGGAGAGAAAGAGAAAGGTCAATGATGACAGAGAATCATGGATTGGTTAACTCCTGCATGCTCCTACTGGGCATCAAGACTGTAACACGGGCATGTGCCATGACTGGGAATCAAATCAACATCTCCTGGTTCCTAGCTTTAAGCTATACAACTGAGCCAGCCAGCTGGGCTCTTTTCATTTCTTTTCTTTATTTTCTTTTTTTCTTAAGTAAAACTTTGTAGTTGGTTCAACTTTTCTTTTTGTCCTGACACCACCACCTCCTTACTGATCATCGCAGAGGAAACTCACAAACCATAGAACAACCCACCCTGTGCGAATAATATGCTTTACCTTTAACAGCTGGCAGAAGAACCAGGCTAATGTCTGCATCCAGGGGGGCTTCTTAACAGTGGTCTTGCTTGTCAAGTGCTGGTGAGAGAGGCAAGACCAAAATATTCAGGGATAGACAGATACCTGTGATACCTCATCAGGCAAACAGGAAGCAAAAGGACAGGAAAAACACGAGTAGGATTCCTGAGGTCTCATGACATCACTTATAGAATGACCTCTCCCTTCCCCAAACCTCAGCCATGCTCTTGGCAAGAGCTGTAAAGTTTTTCTGCTAAACTCACTTCAGTCCACAAAGTCCAAATTCCTCCCTCATATCAGACTACATCCCCAATCCTTTCTCCTCCTACTACTCCTTCTCCTCCCATCCACCTTTTTCTTACCTGTTCTTCTTGCTCTGAAGGCAAAGCACCGTTTTTCACTCCTTTCCTCTGTGACCAGTCTCTGCTTCCCCCTGTCACCTGCAGAAGGAAGAACATGGCCATGATACATCTGTTCCAAGGAGTCCATGTATCAGGAATGTGTCCAGAAAAAACAAGGTTCCCCTGACTCACACCCCAGAAACCAGTCCCTTGAGACAGGTGGTGGTGAGGAAGGAAAGAGATTAAATCAGGTATTGGCAATCTGAGAAGATGGGTGAAGCTCGTCTCCAAAACCATCTGCACATCTCAGTGCAGGCAGAGGCTTTTATAAGGAGGGAGAGGCCAAACAGAGCAAAGAGGTCAGGGGGCGGGGCTTGAGAAGTTCTCTACTTGCCGACAGGCACAGTCCAATCTGATAAGGATCTTGCAAGTGGTCAGGTGACAATCCAGTGTGCATCATCCTAGCCTTTGTCCTCCTGGTTCTAAGGTTGAAGGTCAGCAAATCTCCCAGAATTGGGAGGGTCAGAGTTCATATCTTGTAAAATTAGTTCCTAGGATTCTTATACAAACATGCTGTTTATCTACAAGCTTCATTATTAGTCAGAGTCTGTATTTACAAGAGCAATGTGGAAAGAATGGGGAGGTGAGTTGTAATTCCCACTGTGACATGAATGCTGAGATTCTTCGTTCTTCTTCAAGATGTTTCCACCATTTCAAAAAGTCAAATTTCCCCTAGCCAGTTTGGCTCAGTGGATAGAGTGTCGGCCTGCAAACTGAAGGGTCCCGGGTTTGATTCCCTGTCAAGGGCACATACCCAGGTTGTGGGTTTGATCCCCAGTGAGGGACTTGCAAGAGGCGGCTGATCCATGATTCTCTCATCATGGATGTTTCTAACTCTCTCCCTCTCCCTTCCTCTCTGAGATCAATAAAAATATATTTGAAAAAAAAGGCCGACACTCTATCCACTGAGCCAAACCAGCTCAGGGGCTAGTTCACATTTAAATGGATTTCCCAACTGGTATGTTAAACCAAAAAAAAAGAATAAACTGTTTTAAAACAATATGCATTTAATCTGGATCCAATACTTGCATATTATTTTTTCAATGTCTTTTTCAAGGTCTTTTTCTTGTCTTTCTCTGTTTAATATATTTTTACAAGAGGCCCGGTGCACGAATTCGTGCACCAATGTGGTGCCTCCACCTTGCCTGTGGGGATCGGCCGAAACTGGCTCTCTGACATCCCCGGTGGTGGCCTAGATTACGAAAGGGCACAGGCCAGGCCAAGGCACCTCACCGGTGTCCCATTAGGTCTCAGGAGGGACACGGGAGGTTGGCCAGCTAGGGAGGGACCATGGGAGGGCTGCACGGTGTGTCCAGCATGTCTCAATCAGTTCTGACCAGCCAGACCCCAGAGCAAGCTGACCTACCAATCTGAATGTCTTGTTCCTGGTGGTCAATGCATGTCATAACGAGAAGTTGAGCAACCTTAGTATATCATTTGCATATTATGCTTTTATTGGTTGAACAGATGACTGGTCGACTGGACACTTAGCATATTATGCTTTTATTATATAGGATTGATTTCTTACAGGAAGGGAGCGAGAAACATCAATGATGAGAGAGAATCATACATCAGGTGCCTCCCGAACGCCCCATACTTGCGATAGAGCCCACAACCAGAGCATCGTCCCTTGACAAGAATCAAACCTGGGACTTTCCAGAGTCCACAGTCCCACCCTCTATCCACTGAGCCAAAAAAGCTAGCGCTCATTGGTTAATTCTTGTCTGTGCCCTGACCAGGAATTGAACCGTGACCTCTGGATTCATAGGTCATCCATCAACCACTGAGAAACACCAGCTTGGCTCAAAATTCTTTTATTGATTTGAGAGAGAGGGAGAGAGACAGAGAGAGACAGAGAGAAAGGAGAAGAAGAAAAGAAGAAGAAGAAGAAGAAGAAGAAGAAGAAGAAGAAGAAGAAGAAGAAGAAGAAGAAAAGAAGAAGAAGAAGAAGAAGAAGAAGAAGAAGAAGAAGAAGAAGAAGAAGAAGAAGAAGAAGAAGAAGAAGAAGAAGAAGAAGAAGAAGAAAGAGCAAGAGAGAGAGAGAGAGAGACATCAATGCACCCTTGTACCGAGGGGGTGGAAGATAGAAAAGCAGAGCTTAGTAAAAAGGTGAACAGAACTATACACGTCCCTCTGGCAGGCCAGCAGGACAGGGGCTCAGGATGGCAAGATCCAGGAACCCCATCACATGTCCTACGAGTCTTCCATCAGCTCAAGGGTCATTTTCTCCACGCTATTCTCCTTGACGTGGTGCACGATGCGCCAGAACCGGCCCATGGAGTCCAGGTACTGGATGCCAAGGTGGAGCGCCCACCAGGAAGGCATGGTGCTCGAGCTCAGCTGGATGGTGGTGAATGTGTTAGGCCCACTGGGGTAGTCGACCTGGCACAACTGTACTTGCAGGACACCTCCTGTCTCCATGACGATATGCAGCCATGTGCGCTGGTTCTCATCCTCATACAGCGAAGGCCCACGGATATCCAGGTAGATGGGGTGTGAGGTGAGGTGCACCTTCGAGGGGAGCTCGGCCATGACCCCTCAGTGGTCCAAGGAGCAACAGCCACAGCTTCTGAGAGCCACTCGCTACTTCAGTCCTAAAATCGATAGGCAGGGGATGGGGTCTCCAAACTTATTTGACCTCGGCTTTAATATTTATGGTTTTTACTGTTGTGTTTGTGATTGCCTTTGGTTTATTTTGCAAATTTATAAATCTCAACTTTTCTTTCTTTTTAACTTTAGATCTCTTTCCTTGAACAAATTGTACAAAACGTACTTAATGGGAAATATGACTTTATGAAGGTAACAGTTTGATAGAATTTTTAAATCATTTTTTAAATGACAGTTTACATAGAACATTTGGTTCATTTCAGGGGTACACCCCAATGATTAGACATGATGTAATGGACTAAGAAATCATGCAATTAATCTCATACCCATCTGACACCATACACAGTTATGATAATATTACAAGAGGATCAGTGCACAAAATTTATGCAATCAGGGATGTCCCTCTGCCAACCCTGCAGCCTCTCCCAGTCTGGGACCCCTTGAGGGATGTCCAACTGCCAACTTAGGCCCGCTATAGTGCTGCCTTGGAGGATTCCACCACCCCACTGTGCTCAGCAGCTGTGAGCCTGGCTTTTGGCTTAGTGGTGCTCGCACTGTGGGATTGTACTGACTACCAGTGGACCCCTCCTGCCATGAGCATCTGCCCCCAGTGGTCAGTGGGTGTCATAGAGACCAGTCATTCTGCCGTTTGGTCTATTTGCATATTAGCCATTTATTATATTGATTGACTCAATGCTCTACTTTACTGTGCCATGACTATTTTTTT